GAGTATTTGCTCGAGGACGAGCAAAGGTTTAAGTCTAGGGAGTTTGATGACATGTATTTTGGTGACATTTTGGTATAGGATGTCTAGTGCATTTTACTCGGTTTTGCATATTTATAGGCATTCTAGAGCACATTTGGTCTCGATATTGCTTGGTTGCTTTCTTTGGTATCAAAACAGGTATTCATGCATAAAAAAGAGCAAAAGGAGTGGAAAATATGGACTACGGAACATCACAGACGAAACGGGAACATTTGGAGTTGTTCCGGGAAAAAACACGAAGCCTAAAAAGACAAATCTTACAAGTTTAATAACATCCACTCTACAAGTCCAAATTGCGTGTTCTCTACCTCATTGGAAAGCTCTCTTCAATATCTACGCATAGACACCAAGATCGCACAAATCCGACATTGGAGCAGAATGTTATGAGCAAATCTGTCAAGCATGTTCGAGTTGAAGAATCGACACGGACCGTGTTGCATTCGACACGGCCGTGTTGTGTCCGTGCTGAAAAAAGTGAAGTTTTGCTCAGAGAATTGACACGGACCGTGTTGCATTCGACACGGCCGTGTTGCATTACGGGAAACCTTCCTATTTTGCATCCGGACTTCCGTTTTCAGCAAAGGAAGAAGCCCAGCTGCCAAGCAAATAAATAGGAGACGTCTTGGGCTTCAAAAATTATCGAGAGATCACAGCAGAAGCCAGAGAACTCGAGAGAGAATCAAGACGGAGTTTCCCAGGAGCAGAGATTGAAGAATCGTCGTCGAGAGATCGCTGCGACTCTTCTTTATCTGTTTCTTTGTTTCTCTTTATTGATTTGAACTCGTTCGTTGTTATGGGTAGTGAGTAGTCGTTTCACTGTAGCTAGGGATTTAACCTTGTAGGGATTTGTTTGGTTTTTATTTTCCGAGACTACGTTATCGATACTCGGCGGTTTAATTGAATTGAGTTTATTGCTTTTGATCTTCTTGGCCTGTTGATTGATCGATTTTAGATTCTGATTTACAACGAGAGTTGAGATTAGATTCGGAACGAATTCATTGAGTGAATTGATTAAGACTATTGAGAGATAGGTTAATCGGTTTAGGAACTGTGATAGTGATCGTTAATGCGTTTGATATTTTAATCTATTAGGTTGAGAGATCGATAGGTTAGATTATTGGATAGTGGATTTAGGACTTGAGAGAGCCAAATCTGATATTAGAACTTGAGATCCCCGTTTAGAGTTCGATATTCGTAGATTCTCCATCCTTAGAAACAATCCCTGCGCGTTACGGTTATCCCGAAGCTACGGTGGTTTATCTATCTGATTTTACTTAGTTTATTTATTACTTTATTTTCGGTATTCATCTATTTCATCTGCTATTTGCTGATCTGAATCTTAGTCGAGTCTTGTTCTTAGTGT